CATGCTGGCTGGGGAATTTTGGGAGTTGAAGTCCACATATCTTCAAGCTGCCAAGGTTGAGAAACACTGCTCTAGAGGTCTGATTAGCTTCAGAAGCAGGATCTGGCTAGGTTCCCTTTTACTGATGAATGTTCTATTCCAGACTCCAAGACAGTTCTTTCTCTTTTCCACCCAGGGGCAAGTAGGAGCTGCCTTCAGACTACTGGCTCCTTGAAGAGCAGCCTGAGGTGGTCACCCTACAGAAGGATGTCCACACTTCAGGAAATGCAAGGCCTCTGACTGTTGCAGTGAACATCATCTAATGCCTGTCTTGGCCTGGACTTATCCCTTCCTAGACTTTAGGACAGGGAGGAAAACCAACATGGAACACACATATGTGTTTAGGGAGCAGGACATTGTTATGCAGGGAGCCCAATTACTCCTTAATTTGCCCTCTCTGCCCTTACTCCCAGAACCTGATTAGGAAGGGATTTTCTTTAAGGTAGAACACCCATATGAGTTTCTCACAAAGATCCTGGGCAAAGCTTAACTATCTCAGTAACTCTCAATCCCAAATGGACATCAAAGCAATCACAAAGAACAAGCCACAGGTTTTCCATCACATCACAGCCAGCCTCAGCAACAGTTCACTTCGTGAAGAAGACTGGTAGCCATTTCCAAAACTATCTCTAGCTGGAGACTGGCCCACCTTCTGAAAGGAAACAGGCCTTCTTCCTTTTGTACCAGAAGAGTGGGAGAAGAGGAACGAAAATCTAACTCCCTTAATTTGCCTACACACACGAACACACACACACTCCTGTGAAAAAGTAAGGACACCCCATTCCAATTTTTTACTTTTTCAACATATTTCAACATACAGATACTTGATCTTCATTTTAACAATACTGATAGATAAAAGGGATATAATGTAACAAATACCATGGATCACTTAATTTTGTAGTCTATTGTGTAATTTAAATATGCAAATTTCACACATGGAAAAAGTAAGTACACCCCTACATTTATCACTACTTCAAATACCTAAGATTAGGATCAGGTGCAAATCAGTTGGAACATCACTAGAGAGGATCTGGGAGGAACCTGTCTCATTTAAACCTCAGACATTTAATTTGATTTGCTCTTTGTTGTTGAAGTGTGTGGCATCACCACAGCCAGATCAAAAGAGCTCTCTGAAGGCCTTGAGAAAGAAGATTACAGATGCCTATGAGTCTGGGAAGGGATTGAAAAAGAGTGCCAAACATTTGGACATCAATCATTCCACTGTCTGGAAGATCATCTACAAGTGGAGAAGATTTCAAACAAGGGCCAATTTGCCAGGCCAAGCCTTCCCAGCAAGTTCAGCCTGAGAGCAGAACGCAAGATGCTGAAAGAACCCCAGAATGTCATCATGTGACCTACAACTGACCTACTGATGTCAAAGTGCCTGTGAGTCTACCGTTAGAAAGAAGCTGTACAAATTAGATCCACACGGGAGGTGTATCAGGAGGAAACCTTTGCTGT